CTTCCGGCCACCGCAGCCTCGACCTGCTGGGCTCCGGCGATCCTTCTGCCTCAGCCTTCCAAGTCGCTGGAACCACAGGCTCGCGCTACCACGCCCGGCTAATAATTTTTTGATTTATTGTAGAGATGAGGTCTCGCCAAGTTGCCCAGGCGGTTCTCGAACCCACGGGCTCAGGCAATCCACTCACCTCAGCCTCCCAAAGGCGCGGGATTACAGGCTGAGCCACTGAGCCCGGCTTCTTTCTTATAGTATTATAATAATCGTTCAAGGTCCGCTTCTGAGTGAAAACATATGGTACTCTGTTTATAGCAGCGGCTCTTCTAGGCTATCCCCAGGCTTGCATTGTCATCCCTCATCATCTGGGAGCATGTTAGAAATGCAGATTCCTGAATCCAATCCGAAACTTAATCAACCAGAAACTCGGATTGGACCCAGCAATCTGTGTTTTAGCAGGCGCTTCAGGTAATTTGGGTTGGAGGATCAAAGTTATGGGAAGTCTTAGCTTTTCATTTCTGTCTCCATCTCTAGTTCTATTGAGGCTAAACCTATTGGCAGCTTGAGAGTCTGTTAAGTTGAAATAACTGAGTTGGGAGAGTGAAGTGAAGATTTAAAAGTTCTTATTTAGATCTCAGTTTTTAACATTGAGATGGGTTTAGGAGATTTGGGGATCTACATTCTGTCAGTGGGATATTATATTATCAATATTCTGCTAATTAATTACTATAAAGACAAAATATAATGGCTCATGAATACAGTACTAAACTTTTATTAGTCCCCAAATACCTTTAAAGGTACTGTGACAACAGAAGTTTGTGTTGAAATCTAAAACCTTCATTGCTTGACTTGATAAAGTAGCTTTCTTGGTAGCATGTTTCTCTGATAATGTTGACTTTTATAAAGAAACCTTTTGTCTTTTCCAAACCTCTTTCTTTTTAGGCGTTTTGGAATTATGGGACTCTACAAAGGCCTTGAAGCCAAACTGCTGCAGACAGTCCTCACTGCTGCTCTTATGTTCCTTGTTTATGAGAAACTGACAGCTGCCACCTTCACAGTCATGGGGCTGAAGAGTGTGCGCAAGCCCTGATACGCCTTCCTGTGAAAAGTGCAGAAGATGACTCAAGAAGAGAGTTTCCTTCTGAGTGAAAAGAAGTGATTCTCTCTTTACTCTGGCTCTTGCCACCACAAATTTAACCCTCATTGACTTGAAAAGCATCCAAGGGTAAACAGGAAGTATAGTGAACTGGACTTGTTGCCACCTTAATTTTTTTGATGCTGGTTAGATTTGGGGGTGGAAGTTGGACTAATATTCAAAGTAAAACACTATTGAAAACTTAACCAAGTTTATGGGAATTGATTAATTGGTTTTCTTAAGGGGAATGGACTATTGCTCTCATGTGTAACCTTTTCTTTTTAAAAATTTCAACTCTTTTTTTTTTTTTCTCAAAATCTCTTCCAGGTTCTAGGACACATTTAATAACATATAATTCTCCTCAGATGCTTTTGTATCTCTTAACCTTGGTATTTTCCTCACTAAAAATAATATTATGACTGTGCCACAGGGATGACTTTTTATTTTTGTTGGGCTTTTTCTCTCCTGCTTAAGGAGAAGGGTCTTTTTTTAGTACATAAGCTATTTATTTTTGGGGGGGAGATGAAAATTATTAATCCCAAGTGATTCTCTTATAAACTGTAAATGTCACATATTCATTAGTGTTTGACAATTTTTTAAATATTTATTTCGAATCAACTCTTTCATCACAAAAGGATTGAGGTTTTATGTCCATCCATACAAGTCCCAATGAGTCAAGCCCCAATAAATTGTCAGCACAAAAGACATTCTTGAAAACTGCTCTTTATTAAAGTATTACATTGGGTTTGCAATCAGATGGTAAAAATCACAAAAAAGGGACTAGGAACAGATACCTCATTTAGGCTGTGGAATATCGTCTCCCTTTATAAATTCTTGGTGTAGGCTGCAAGTTTTGAGAATGAACATCTGGTGAAGGTTTTCATTTGTAAACCTTTCTTGGAGTCCTACTTCTCAAAGTGTGGTCCATCAAACAATAGCACTGCCATCAGCTGAGGGCTTGGTGAGCACACAGCCAGAACTTCTGAACCATTCCGTATTTTAACAAGATTCTCAGGTGATTCTGTCCCAATGGCAGAAATGATTGGTTTCACTTGTCTAAACCAAGATAAAGAGTTTTCTTAAAGGAAAGAGACTAATGCATTAAAATGACCTCTGACAAGTCTAGACATCTTATGTCATCGTTTGCTTTCATCTCATAGCACAATGTCAGGTGACAGGACTTTTATTATGTAGCTACAAGTGGATTTAGACATTTGAAGCCACTCAGGAATCGAATTCACTTCACATTCATAGCTCTTTGGATTCCTCTTAATTTTTGACCCTGTAACAAAATGACAATTTTTCATTTAGAAGGCTGAGTCACAGAGAGTAATAATGAAATATTTCATTATTTAGGATTTAGTTCAATTTTAAAAATAGAAATTGCTTTCTGTTATTTCCCCTCTTTAGTCCCTGTGATGATTTCAAAATATATGATTATTAAACTAGTAACAAATGAAACATCATTGTGATGTTCTAGAAAACCAAAATTTGCAGGAGCTAATAATCTAGGAACTAGACCGAACATTCATCCCCTGTTTAAGCCAGAGAAGTGAAAACAGATTACTAGCCGGGCTTGGTGGCTCAGCCTGTAATCCCCCACCTTTCGGAGGCTGAGATGAGTGGATTGCCTGAGCCCGCAGGTTCGAGACCCACCTGGGCAACTTGGCGAGACCTCATCTCTACAATAAATCAAAAATGAGCCCGGCGTGGTAACACACATCTGTAGTTCCAGCTACTTGGAAGGCTGAGGTGGAAGGATCGCCGGAGCCCAGCAGGTTGAGGCTGCGGTGGCCGGGAGCAGCCACTGCACTCCAGTCTGAGCGACAGAGTGAGACTCCAACTCAAAAAAAAAAAAAAAAAGAAAACAGATTACTTTTACTACTTTTTAATATTACTTTAAGACTTGTGCATGTCTTTGGTGGGCCTTGTGTGGGGAGCACAAAACTATTATTTTGATTTCTGTACAGGAAAAGAATGATTGTAAAGGTGTCATGTGTATTTTTGTTATTGTTTTAATTATGCTGTTTGGTTTAGAAGTTGAATTTTGACTCAGAGTATTGTGGGTTGGTATGTTACAATAATTTCCAACTCAAATTATATAGCTATATTAGATGTTTATGATGTGAGAATGTATTTGATGCTTTGTTTTCTGATTTTATAAGGAAACAATTTAACACTGAAATTTTATATTCCTTATGGACGCTTATAGATTCACTAGTTGAAGCTAGATAATAACTCATCTAGTTTCATAACCTTTGGATGGTAATAATAAGTTGTTTGAGAAAACTAAAGCACTGAAGTCCATGCTAGGGAAATGGAAAATTTTTCTTTTTGATTCTTTGTGAGGTTTCTCTAGCATATGAGGATTAAGAACCTTAGGGATTACATTAATGTTACTGCAGTAGAAAATGTAATTTCTGTAAGTATTTAATCTGTATTTTTAAGTGGGTACTGTAATATTTCTGCCCTAGTCTGTTTTACAGTTAAGTATGAAATGCAGAAATAGGATTTACCATAAGAACATATTCAGTGGGAGTTAGAAGTCTTGGGTTTTATTCCCAGCTCTGCCACTGACTAGCAAATTATGTCATCTCTTTATGTTTCAACTCTTTGATAAGTGGAGATAATAATACTCACTACTCACTTCAGAGGATGTTTGAGAGCTAATGATGTCAGCTAAATCCCTTTATGACCATGGAGCAAGGGAGATTTGAGTGGAACTTGAGACAGTGGCTTGATTTATATAGTAATTTCCCTTCTCAAAGCTGCAACACCTTCTCAGTTTATAATCATAATAGCTCTGTGAAATAAGTAAGGACAAGTAACAATATCCTCATTTGATTAGTAAGGAGATTGAGACAGAACTATCAGATGACTTGCCTCTTTGGAGCCAGGACTAGAATTGGATTTCCTGCCATCTTAGTGTAATGATTAAGAGAATAGGTTCTGGAATTAGACCTAGCTTCAAACTCTGACCCTAGTCCTTACAAAACTCAGTTTCCTCAACTGTGATATGGAGATCTTGATAAACCTACCTCATAGGGTGACTATGAGATCATATAAATAAATTACTTAGCACAGTGTTTGCACACGAGGACTAGATGCTAAATGCTGTCAATGACTATTATTATATTATTATTGATTAGGGCTGTTTGAATAGATGTAACTGTAGAATAGAGGAAGGCACTCTGGATTTTAAGCCAGACCTGGTTCTGATTTTCATTCTTTCATTTCTGGTTTTTAGAGACGGGTTCTTGCTCTGTCACCCAGGCTACAGTGCAGTGGTGCAATCATAGCTCATTGCCACCTCAGATTTCTGGTCTTAAGCAATCCTCCCACCTCACATTCCCAAATAGCTGGGAAGCTGGGACTATAGGCATGCTAGGCTTTTCATTCTATCATTTAATATCATTGTGACCACAGACAAATCACTTAACCTTTCTGAGCTTCTATATTTTTTCTGTCAAATAGATGTGATTACCTCTCAAGGCTGTTCTGAGTATTAAATAAGAGATATAGATATGGATATGTGAAAGCATCTGGCACAGTATATGGCACATATATGTGCTTAGTAAAGGCTGTTTGAACCAAGAAAATCAACTAGGTTTTGCTTTGGGGCACTTTTCCTCTTTTTTTTTTTTTTTTTTTTT